CACACACACACACACACACACACACACACACACAGCTGTGTGTAAAAGTCTTGATGCAGACCTCTGACCAGTTTAAATATGAAATAAAAAAATCCGATCAGAGAACAAACAGAACCGTCTGTTCCTGTTCGGGTCGACAGAACTCTGGGTTCAGGTCCACTTCCTGTCAGGATGAGGTCAGAGGTAGAAACCTCGACAGAAACACAGAAAGGTCCAGAACCACTTCAGAGTCTGGATCAGAGGGTCGGTGTTCGTTTGGACTGAACTTCAGGACCCGGCAGAACCTGAAGAACCAGAACCAGAACTGCACAAACTCAATGGAAGCTCTGCAGAAAACTCACAAACATCCCGAGGGTCTGACCCGTCAGGACCCGGACCAGGCTCAGGACCCGGACCAGACTTGGACCCACCTTTCAGGTTCTTGGGGTGGTTCTGCTTGGTGCGCGGCATGGTTCCGCCTCGGCTCCCGGGTGCATCTGAAAGAAAATAAAACCAGAAGGTGAGGCGGATTGGTTCTGATCCTGCTGGACTGGGTTCAGGTCTCTGACAGGTGGATCAGAACCGGTCTCCAGATGTGCTGGAGACCGGTTCTGATCAGTAATGGAGACGAGCTGCAGAGCCTGAAGTTCTACTCGCTCCGCTTCCCTTCTCCACAGAATAAAAGAGGAGCAGAACCGGGTCAGAACCTCCTGCAGAGGCTCAGAACCGGGTCAGAACCGGAGTCCTGCTCCCTGCAGCATCACCTCCTCCCTCCTGCAGCAGCAGCAGGACCCTCTTTGTCTCCCCTCCACTGTTGCGTAACATCTACAATCAGCTGCTGGAGGAATGACATCACCTCCACGGAAAACGCACACGCACCTGACACGCGCACGGGCTCACCTGCAGCAGTCCACGCGCGCCTGTCTTGGAGGGAACGCTGCGTCCTGACCAGGTGAAGCGCACCTGCCGAGGCTCCGCTGCGTGAGGGAGGAGGATCTGCGGGAAGAACCGGGCCTGACACCGAGCCGAACCGAACCGAACCGGAACGGCTGCGCGGGCAGAGCGGCGGCTGTTGCAACACGTGAACGCCCTGTAGGAGGGGGAGGAGTCAGGGAAAACCCCTCTCTGTCTCTGCAAACAGCGCGACCCGGACCCGACCCACCAAAACCTCCAGCGCGCGCGCACCAATACCGAAACCACGTGAACGCGCTCGGGACTCACCTACGGTCCTCTAAAGTCCAAAAGCAGAACCCGACGGACCCCCCCCCGCGCGCGGGGGGGCTGCACGCGAGCACAGGCGGCCCTCGGAGTTCACGGCAGCCTGAAAGCGGAGCACCGAGTCCGGCTGCAGCGCGCCGACAGAGCCGCTCCTCCCCGGAGACGCGGCGCGGGGCGGCGCGGGGCTCGTACTCACAGCGGCGGGGCGAGCTCGTGCCACGGTGGGGGGGTCAGCTCGGTTCTTCAGCTTCTGTCTCACTTTCTATTGCAGGAAACACGCAGGCCCTCTGACGTCACGGGGGTCCCGTCTCCGCCTCCCAGACAGCGGGCGGGGGTTCCGCCCGGCCTCGAGGGGACTCCCGACGGGCGATGCGCCATCAGAACCGAGCCGCGGGCCTGTCGTCCCTCCCGATCCCCCCTCCCCCCCCCGCCTCTCCCCGGCTCAGAGTTCAGGACTGACGGTTCTCCCGGAGGTTCCTTGTTGTCGGGTCACGTTGTTTCCTCTCCGCGGCCACCGACCGGGCTTCCCCTGCTCCAACCCCGGCCTCCAACCGGTCCAAACATCCTCACTAATCCTGCTGGGATTAATTTAATCTGAAATAATACAGTTGAAGTCCTGCAGCAGACACAGCAGTGCTTAAAACAAGGTTAAATATAATAAATATCACATTTAAAGAATCCAATTTAGTCTGAATTTAATCATAAAAATCATTTGTTCAAAATGTAAACAGTTAGCCTAACTAGCTGCTAGCTAAACATGCTAGTTAGCTAGCCTAAACACGTCACAGAAACAACAAAGTAATTTAAAATATTACAAAATGTCAGTGTCGCATCACAACACGAGTCCTTACTTTGTTTACATGTTGGTTTTTGTTTTTGTTTATTTCTTGTCACTTTGGCAGCTGTCAGAGATGACAGCTAACACCTGATCCAACCCGCAGCAGGGGGCCCACAGCCCGGACAGGTCGGGGGG